CTCTCCTTGGTGCTTTCCCCATGCGTTTTTTCATGGCCGCGGTCCCGGGGTGTTCCAGAGTGCAGGTCAGTCCGTCATCACTGACCTCATCTAGCCCTCACCACAACTTTGTGAGCTAAACTGAGAAAGAGGCGTGACCGTTCCCCTCCCCTACCTCACCATTTCAATCAGGATGCACCCGAGGCTCCAGGAAAGACCTGAAGATCACACAGCCAGCAAGCAGGACAAGTTAGAACGCGCTCTAAACCTGGGCCTTCTAGCCTGAACTCCACCTCGCCACCACGCCTCTCACCTTCTCTGTTCAACTGTTCATGCACCCGGCATTATTGGGCTCGTGCTGTTTGTTGGGGGGCTGCGTGGACTTCCGTGTAAGCCACGGGCCCCTCCCCAGGCCGGGCCAGCTCTGTGTCTCCTGGGCCCTCAGTCTGTTTCCCTCCATCAGTGCAGCTGGCACCACCTCCTCAAAACCAGGGCTGGTTCCCAAGCCTGGCGGCTGAGAAACCCTCTTTTTCCCCCTGTCCCTGTGTCACACCCAACATCACAAACTCCCAGGTACTCCGGGACTCCTCACTAAGCCATCCAGAGGAGTCTTCTTTTTTTTTTTAGGGATGGCCAAGGGTTGGCTTTTAAAAAAATATATATATATTTTATTGATTTTTTACAGAGAAGAAGGGAGAGAGATAGAGAGCTAGAAACGTCGATGAGAGAGAAACATCAACCAGCTGCCTCCTGCACACCCCCAACTGGGGATGCGCCTGCAACCAAGGTACATGCCCCTGACCGGAATCCAACCTGGGAGCCTTCAGTCCACAGGACGACGCTCTATCCACTGAGCCAAACTGGTCTTGGCAAGTCTTATTTTTATATGGGAAGAAAAAGCCCAGAAAAGTAATACACACCTAAGAAATCTTAGAATGGTTCAAGGATATTCTTTCCACTGGTATTTAGAAAGAATGGAATAGAGGGAGAGAGACAGAGAGAGGACCGTCATTGGTTGCCTACCTCATGTGCCCTGACCAAGGCCAAACCTGCAACTGTACGTGCCCTTAACTGGAATCAAACCCGGGACCCTGTGTCCCTCGCACGGACGCTCTATCCACTGGGCGAAGTGTCCTAGTTCTTATCTGTCTAAAGTCCCAACTGTCGTGCTGAATAGCCTTCAGAGGCCCTGAGAGCCTCCAGCGACACTGCTTCTGCGTCTGCCCCTCCCTGCTCTCCGAGTCCTCTCTCTTCTCGTCAAGGAGCCCGCTGTGAAGCCGTGGGCCTGTTTCGCCAGCAGCAGCCTCACACATCTGGTGTTTACCCCGTCTCTTGACTGCATCATTCTCTCTCGTGCTTGATTTAATCTCGTGTTGTTTTAGAAATTGAGTGTGGCCTCAGTGCACAGTGTTTATAAAGTCTGCACACACACTCACTCACCCGGAGCAGCTTCCAGCCCTCCAGCTCCATTCAGGGCAGGGGCCCTACACAGGTGAAACCTCTGTTCTCTCTCGTTTTCACGGTACCTCTCTCTGTTTCGATATGTTTAGATACACAAATGCTTACCGTTGTGCTAGTTACCTACAGTATTCAGCACAGTAACATGCTGTCCGGGCATGCAGCCCAGGGCAATAGGCTAGGCTAATGGTTGGCTAACTGCGGCTCACAAGCCACATGGCAGCTCAAACTAATGAGTTTGCTGACCACTGAGATAGGGGCTTAATCACAAGGAACAACAACAGCCTGTAATTACTGGACTCGAGAGTCTAGGTCAGTGGTCGGCAAACTCATTAACCAACAGAGTGGCAAACTGTGGTTCGGGAGCCGCATGTGGCTCATGAGCCCCAGTTTGCCGACCACTGGGTTAGGCCATAGAACCGGGTGTGTAGGAGGCTTTACCCTCTTGGGTTCAAGTGCACTCTGTGATGTTCGCACAATCACCAGACTACCCATCGGCGCATTTCTTAGAATATATCCCCACCATTAAGCCACACCCGGCAGCAGTGGGGAGCTAAGTGCTGAGGCTCTCCTGGGGCCAGGCACTGCTCAGGACACTGGTCTTCTCTCCACATTTCAATTGAGGGTCCTGAGCCTGCCCCCCACATTCAACTCAGCAGCCTAATCCCCAGCCCCTGGGACCTGTGCTCCAAACTCGGGGGTGGGGGCGCTGTCTGCCTCTTACTGAGATCACACAGTCATCCTGCCCCCCACACCTCCTGGGGCATCACCAAGCCCAGCTTCCCTGCCTGCACCGCCTCCGTCTCCTCTCTTTGGGGTCTCGTTAGACCTCCCCACAAGCTCAGGTGAGACGCATGGACAAGGAGAGAAAACGGAGCACGCCTTGGTTTCCGGGGTGATCGGCGAGGCCACACAGTGGGTCTGTCTGCAGCCTGGTGTGCTTGGTTGTGTCTGGGTGGTCACATCAACTCCAAAATCACAGTCATTTCCACTGCCAGGCAAGGGATGGCTGTTCCCTCAAAGCAGCCTCATGTAGGCAGCCGCCGAGGAACGTTCCGTGGGGGAGACTGGGTCTGAGTGCCCACGCCTCGGCCACCACTGAGCTTTCTTTTCCTTTTGTGTTCCACCCACACAGCAGGAAAGACAGAACCGACCCGCAGAAACCGCTCCTGTGTCAAGTCTGGATGCCTGACGCAAGAGTCGCTCAGCCTGGAAGTCCCTGCATGGATTAATGTCTCTGCGAGAAGAAGTAGGTTCCCATCTGTCACCAGCTGTATAATCATGTGATTATGGGGAAGAAAGCTCTGAGCCCAATAGGCCAGCCCCACCGTATGCTGGATTCCTGGATAGGGGCATGCAGTCTTTGAGTTTCAGTTTCCGCATTTCTAAAAGAGGACAAAGACTTCATTTTTAAGCTTCTTGAAAGAAGCTGTGGGAGCGCACTGACCACCAGGGGGCAGCTCCAGTGTTGAGCATCATAGAGACCGGTCAACCGGTCAATTGGTCATTCAGGCTTTTATATATATAGATCATATAATATCAATTATATCATATAATCTTACTCTTAGGTCTACTTTAACTGTTATACAATATTTCATAATATAAATTTACTGTTAGTTGTTTTCAATATTTGTTACAAAACATGCTCCAACAAACATCCCCAAACAGAATTTTTACATATTTATGCAACTATTTGGGTATGATAAATTTCTCAAGTCAAAATTTTATCAAATAAATATATCTATCCACATATGTATGTTAAAATTTGGTGGAAAATGTCAAATTTGACCCTGGCCAGGATGTATGGGTTTACAACTCCTCCAATATTGTATAAAAGTCCCTCTTCTTCCCTACAGTCTTATCTTTTATGATTTTGACAATTTAATGTTGAATATGGTACTTTATGGTGATTTTAGATGTCTTCTCATATGTTGATATTTCTCCTATTAAGTATTTCTCCTATAAACTGCTCATTCATATACTTTACCCATTTCAAAAAATGGAGTTTCCTTTTTCGTATTGATAGGAATAACATGTTTCTTGAATATTAATATTTTTTCAAATGTATTTAAATTAGTTCCTGCCATGTCTTTTCATTTAGTTCATTTCTTTGCCTATATATAAATGTTATCTTTTTTTTTGTTGTTGTTCAATTGTGTCCATCTTTTCTTTATGACCCTCGGGTCATAAAGTATATATAGGCAGGCCTTTCCTACTAAAAAAAAAAAAAAAAAAGAAAGAAAAAAGAAAAAAGAAAGAAAAATGTTTTTATATTTTTAAATAATATTATAGGTTTTAATGTCTAAATATTTAACCCAGTTACAGCACATTTTTGTGGATTATGTGAGTTAGGAATCTGTCACACAATCATGAGCCCAACATTCTATTCAGGCTTCCTATGACCCAGTGGCTGAGACCTATTGCTTGGCTTCATTTCATTTCCTGGGCCACATTTTGGAGATAATATCTGTATCTGTACGTAAAGTTGAAACAGAAAACAAGCCCAGTGTTTGAGAGGGTAACCCCTCTCTCCTACAGAAGCATAACACTGGGAACTGACTTTGGGGAGCTGCCTTTCAGTGTCCCCTCTTCTGGTACTAGACCTCTCTGTGCACCCATCACTGTACCCATCACTGTCCCCGTCACTCTGCTTCTCTGCCTGTATCACCAGTTTCCTTTGCCTTTCTCCTTCCAAGTCCGCCCTCCCTTCTCCTTCTCTCCTCATCGGTTCCTTTCTCTCACCATCAATAGTGTTGCCCACCTTAAATGTTTCTTTTAATGATTTGTCCTGGTTGCTTAATAGTATTTCATGCATCTCTATGCATTTTTGTTTGTTTTGGAACGCATTTTTATTTGCCTAACTGTGAATTTTTAATAGAGACACACGAATGTATGCTAAACGTAAGATTTGGGTATTTCAAACATTTAGAACTGAGACCCAATTTATATTTGTTTCCTTTGATCACAATACAGTTTTAAAACCTCAAGAACACATTTGGAGAAAGAGAAGAAATCCACTTTTACAGTTATCTCAGACGTCTTCATTTCCTAGTATTAATAACCATCGGATAAACAGTTGTATGCTGCTCTTCGCTTTTGAACACCTACCTATATTTCCATGGGATCTTGTCAGAGACATTAGAGCAGCATGATTAGAAGGTGGGCTACCTGGGAGAATTAGGGTCCTTGGTAACTTAGGGGTGATGCTGAGTGACTCACTTAGCCTCTCAGTGTCTGCCTCTTTGATGGGGGGTAATACCCCCCAAAGGTGCTGGTGAGAATTAAAAAGTGAGAAGAAAACACACACTCCTCAGTGTGCCTACTTCGGCAAAGGAGCACATCAGCAGCGTTGGTTTGCTCTGTGTGTGAGTGAGTGTGTGTGTGTGTGTGTGTGTGTGTGTGTGTGTGTGGGTGTGGGTGTGTACACGCACTCTCTATGCTACTGTAACAGAAGCAAAAAAAGAGAGGCACGTGGTTAAGCTCACGCGGGGTGGGTTCTTCCAGTCTTACTTGACTTCCTTGTGCTAACGCTCAGAATCACAATAAGGAAACTAACCCCCAAGATGAACTTCGCATGTAAGATCTTAGCCAGCTTCCTTCTGATTGTCATCCCTTCTACCAAAGGTAAGTTGGCGGTGGGTCTCCACGGCCACCATTCCAAGCCTTTCTAGAGGCTCTGAGGTGAGTGCAGAGTCTGAGAGGTCACAGCCAGCTGTGCCCGGCGGGGAGTCTCAAGGCCTCAGGGACTGTCTTGTGTTTTTTATAGGTGTAGCTCCTACAGCTCATGAGGTCCTGGGAATCCTGCACCAAGACACCAACGTGGACATTATTGGTCCTCCAAAGGAGGACTTTATAGATGACAGAGTATGGAAAAAAGACAAAGCAAGGATTATACGATACACAAATGGAAAGCCTAATGAGGAAAAGGAAAGATACCAAGTGTTCAAAAATGGAACTCTGAAAATTAAACATTTGCAAAGAAATGATAGTGGTAGCTACGAGGTAAACCTATATAATTCAAAAGGACAGAACATCTTGATGCAAACATTTCATCTGAAGATTCTAGGTAAGTCTTTGTTCCCTAAATTCTTCTGTCTCAATATGGGTGCTCTTTAGTAAGTTGGGGAATAGCATTTATCCAATATCTCCTACCCCCGCCTCAGCCTTGGAGGAGCCCAAGGGGAAACTGAGGCATCCCTCCTGCCTCAGGGGAGGCTCCGTGCTGTGGGAGATGGAATCCACGTGTGAAAACACACAGCTGATACACAGTCCGCCTGCCTGGAACTGGCTATCTCTTCACTGGTTATGGGAACCTGGGGCTGAGCAAAGAACCCGGATTAAGGCGACATTAGTCAGGAGGAGGGAGCAGGCAGTGGCGAAAGCAAAGGGAGGCATTCCAGGTGGATGATGAAGGGCAAGCTAGGTGGGAGCAGGGAAGGTGAGGCTCACTGGAGAGCAGTGGACCTTCCAACAAAGACAATTTCCAGCCAGGATGCCCTGAAGGAGTAGCTAACTTATGGCAGGAAAGGGCTGGGAAGGATGCATTTAAAGATGAAGAGCCCTGGTGTCTGACCCACTCCTCACCAGAGTGGTCCAAGTGGGTTCTGCCGGCCTCCGTAGAAAACACATGTGTCTGTGCATGGCCGGGAGGGCAGTGTGCACACTAAGACGGTAGCAAGGAGACTGGCCAGGAAGCTGCTGCTGTGTCCCGGGAAGGGAAGAGGGGCTGGGTTGTGATGCTTAACCCTGCCTGTACGTTAGGATCAACCGAGAGGCTATTAAAAGTTGCCAGTGCCCAGGTTCCATCCTGACAATTAAGTCAGAATATTTTAGCGTGGGACCTGGGCACCAGCAGGGTCCAAAGGTTGTCAGGTGATTGTGATTGGCAGTAAAGGCTGACACCCTCTGGCCTGGACTAAAGGATGCCAGTCAATGAGGAAGGGTGAGACTAAGGAGAGTCATCTGTGGAGAAAGCCTAGGCAGATGGCATGGGTGTGGGGCAGAGGGAAGAGAAAGTGGAATTTTCAATGACATGCAGTTGAACGTCCAGAAGCCGCTTGAAAGGGGGGGCGATACAAAGTGAAAAGAGGGTCCTAGCTGGTTCAGCTCAGTGGATAGAGCGTCGATCAGTGGACCGAAAGGTCTCAGGTTTGATTCCAGTCAAAGAGCATGTATTTCAGTTGCAGGTTGCTCCCCAGCTGTGGTCAGGGCTTGTGTGAGAGGCAACCAATTGATGTTTCTCTCTGTGTGTCTCTCCCTCCCTTCTACTGACTCTAAAAATCAATGGGGGAGGGGGGTTTGAGGGGGCGGGAGATAAAAATCAATGGAAAAATATCCTCGGGATTAAAAACACACACAAGACATCAAAATGAGAAGAGGAAGCTGCACTTGGCCTTGAGAGGAAGACAGGAACTTTAGCATGAGCACAAGGCAACCACTCTGAGCAAATAACACTTCTGTGCTTCACACAGGAAATGTCACCTGGGGCAAGGCCCCTCCTCCTGCCCAGGGCCACCTTCCAGTCCTGTCCTCAATGTGTGGCCTGGCAGCCACCCCTCTCCAACAATCCCAAACACTGTCCGCTCCCTGCACAAGACAGCTCCCCGCAGCCTGGTCCTCAAACTTGAATGGAGAGAACATCCCAGAACTGGGGTGGACGTAGAATGGAGCCAGAAGGCACCTCTGTGTATGGGGCCCTGGTAACCCCAGATCTCAAGACTCTTGCCAGTACCGGCTCGGGGTCCTGCTTAGAACACGTGTCTCCCACTCCTGTCTTTTTTAGTTTGGCAGCCATCACAGTGCCTGTCTGCTGGGTGTCCAGCGCTTTGCTCTCATGACCTTATGTGAGGGTCCCAGCACTCCTGGGAGGCAGCTGTCACTACCCCCTTCTTTTCTCTAATGAAACAGAAGCGACCTGCCCGAAGTCTCACGGTCTGCATGCTGCAAAGTCAGGACCAAGCCCTGGGCTTCTTTTCAACAAAGATGGTGACTTTTTTTTTTCTTTCCAAAAGCTTTATTGATACACCATTGACATACCATAAAATTCACCCATTTAAAGTGTATAATTTCAGTGGTGGTTATAATGCTCAGGGATGTGCAACCAACAACAAAATCAATTTTAGAACATCTGTAGTTTCCCCCTCCCCCAACCCCCCCCCCCCTACAAATAAACCCTGCACTTCTTGGCCAAAAGATAGAGATCTTTCCATGACACAACAGCCACCCCTCTCCCCCCCACCTAATCTGTGAGAGAGGAAGAGAGAGAGAGAGAGAGAGAGAGAGAGAGAGAGAGAGAGAGAGAGAGAAGACGCATCACCATTCCTTGCCACACAGCCTTGAGTAAATTCTCTATCTGCTCTCAGTGTGCTTTTCATAATAGTAACTGCCTGGGGTGTTCAGTGAGACATGGCTTCAATGACTAAGCACAGGTGCCTGCGGTGCCCGGGACAAAGTGCCTGTTTGCCCAGTGCCCTCTCCATCTCATTGCTTTTTCATGCTTCTCCTGGCTACAGTCTTTTTTTTTTTTTTTAATATATTTTATTGACTCTGTACAGAGGGGAAGGGAGAGAGATAGTTAGAAACATCGATGAGAGAGAGTCATCGATCAGCTGCCTCTTGCACACCCCCTTACTGGGGATATGCCCGCAACCTAGGTACATGCCCTTGACCGGAATCGAACCCGGGACCTTTCAGTCCCCAAGCCGACGCTCAATCCATTGAGCCAAACCGGTTTCGGCCTGGCTACAGTCTTGGCACCCAAATCCTCTCAATGAGGGGGCCGCTGCCGCTGGTTGAAAAGACAGTGGGAAGCCTTTTAAAAGCAGATGTTAGTGGAGAAGCGGTTAGACTTAGAATTAAGGAGTTCTCACCTATGGGATGAGCCCCCTTTGATCTGGCCATTCCTCTGTAGGAAGCCCTCTGACAGAGGATATGTACAAAGACAGGATGTGGAGAATCTGCTGATGGTCGTGTAGTTTATATTAGTGAAATACTGGGAAGGATTTTAAAGTCACCAGCAGCTAGAGAATTATTCACTAAATGAAGAATACATCATTTAAAAACAATGGTGGTGACATACTTGATATTCTTAAGGGAAAGAATTTCATAAAAGATCAGTGAAGGAACAAAGGCAGACTACAAAATCACAGGATACAGTTTTCCTTTTTAAAACATTATTTATATGTGTATGGAATGCATAGAAAACATCTGCTAAAGGTATACATCAAAGCATTAATAATTATTGGCTCCGAGTAGTGGAATTGTAAGTGATTTTTAGTCTTGAAACTTTTAAAATCAATTTTTACCATGATGGGGTGTCAGTCTTATAAATAGAACAAAGAATATTTCCATTCTGAAAAAAAAACAAGTAAATGCCTTGACTCCACCCCAGATTATGAATTAACCCTATCTTGCTGTTTGACGGCATTTCTGCATCCTCCTCTTTCTTGGTTGCATAGAATGCAAGGACGGAGGTGGGGAGCTTAATTCCTACATGCCTATATGTTGAGACAGAAATGCAATTTGGTGGGAAAGTTCATTAATGAGATATTGTAGGGGATCCTGGGAAAGTAAGCTGTCCATCAGCATAATGAATGGAGAGACCCCGGGCAAAAAAGGTGGCGAGTCTGGGCCAGAGGGAAGTAGGAGAGAAAAAGCAGAAGAGGAGAAATCAGAGGTCTCACAGCTACAACTGGTGGGATAGGGTTTGCCCCTGGCTCATGTGACGCCAAGGCCAGGCTCTTTGAAGATTCTCATGTCAGAAAAGCAAGGAATTCATGATTACGAATGGATCAACTACCACCAATAACATCAGTGCCTACACTTGGCCCAGGGCTTTGTCACATGCTGTCCCTGTCACAGCAGGTGGGGCCTGTCTTTCTCATCTTTCTCTTAGAGATGAGGTCCAACGGGCGTTGCACAATGCGGGGCCAGGCCCACCCAACTGAACCTCTCAGAGCCTTGGGCATTTCATCTGCCACTAGGAAGGAAAACATCAACCTCTCTGTTTGCTAGGATTTAATGATATCATGTATGTTATCATGTATGTGAGAACTGTTTAAGGTATAAAACAGCACTTAAACATTTGATGTGATACATTTTTACTGGTTTAATGTACGTACGGTCTTTATCATAAATGCATTTTCTCTGAATGTGCTGTGTTGATTTAAAAAATGATTTATGAAAATAGTTGGGGGTCTTTGAAATTGCTCCTTGGTCTCAAACTGACTCTATTCTTCCTCCCCCCGACCCATGCTCCTCAATAAAAAGGTATGTCTATTAATCATATCATAATCAGAAAGTTGACTCATATGAATGGGATTTTTCTTTTCTTTTCAGAGAAAGTCTCAAAACCTGTGATAAATTGGAATTGTATCAACACAACCATAACCTGTGAGGTAACACAAGGAACTGACCCTAAAATAACACTGTATGGACCTAGGATCAAAATCAAAGAAGGCCAGAAGGCCATCACATACAAGTGGACGACTAAACCAAATGGACAATTCAACTGCACAGCAATTAACCGTGTCAGCAAGGAAACCAGCATGGCGAACATTGACTGTCCAGGTACTGTCAAACATCCCCAGTTCACTTCTCAAATACAGTCTGCCAGGCCCACTCCAGGGCCCTGGTGCCAGGCTGGGAGGCAGCTTTGACTCAGTATGAGAACTGAAAGCACACCTCTTCCCCCTAAAAACCTTCAAGGCAAGAATTAGAGGAAAGAGGAGGTGGCGTGCTATGGTTACCCACATGGCACCCTCCCACAAATGCCATATAACCTCAGGCAATTAAAAAGATCTTTTGAGAGAAAGAATGGCCAAACCAAAGACATAGAAGGAGTTGTAGAGGCTTTTTTTAATGCAAATCTTCACTTCCCAGAGAGAAGAACTTACTTGCCCATGGTCCCTCGACTAGTCAGTAATCACAGTGGTGACTCCCCTTGTAATGATGGAGAAGAGAGCAGGAAAGATCCCCTTGGGGTGGGGGTCATGGCCAGCGCCTCCTATCAGTGGCTGCAGGAAAACACACGGAGCTAGGGGGCTGGGAGAAGAAGAGCTCGAGGCCAGGAGGACCATGAGCGCAGTGAGAAAATGCTCCTCCTACCTTAGGACAGAAAGCCTGGCTTTGGCACCAGCACCAGGAAGTCCCGAAACTCTTAAGAGTCTAAGCCCTTTCCTGGCAGCCCAGCCTGGCACTGCCCCCAGAAGTAAAGTTGGGGAGTCTGCTGTAGTGCTCAGCTCTGGGAGCCAGAGGTCTGTCCAAACATAGCGGGATGACCTTGACAGAGCTCCTTTCCTCTGGGCCACCGCCTCCTGGTCCGCAAGGAGAATGATCCCCTGATTCCCAAGAGTCTACTCATCTGAGACTCTGTGATTGCCTTCCCAGTGCGGTCTGGTGGACCCCCCAGAAGGGAAACTGAACACAAACGAGGTTATTTGGTATGAAACCCTGAGTTTATGCAGCGACTATGGCTGGTCAGTGACCGTAGGAAGCAGCCGTGGGCTGGTGCGAAGGCAGAAGTATGGCAACTCTAAGCAAAGGCCTCCCGAAAGGGAAAAGTGGTCGTAAAGTCTAGTAGGGGCTGCTGGCTTCACTGTGCTGTGATGACGGGCAGACACACGGAAGAAGTGATGCTGGTCTACCTGTGTGGGGGGCACACTCACAGATGGCCCCAAGATCCTGCCTCCCGGGATTCCCGTCTGTGTCATCCCTTCCCATTGACTGTGGCCTGGACTTACTGGTTGGGCTGGGCTTCCTATCACTGCTGAGATCGTTATCAAATGTTCGTGACTTTTGTCTCGAGACCTTGTTCTTGCTCCTGCTTAGGTTGCTCAGATTTAGCAAAGAAAAAGACAGCATAAGTATGTTCCAAATGTTGCATGGGACCTGTCAGTAGCTAAACTAAAAATTATTCATTGTTTAATTGAACTTTCACTGGGCATCCTGTGTCTTATCCGACGGCCTACTTCATGTCTTTTTAAACTAGATACCATCAGAATAAAAATGCATGTGTATTCAGGATGAAGAGAGGGCCCTGGGAGAAGCCTACGGTCAAAGACTAGAAACCCCATGCCCTGTAACCCTTACGTATGGTGTAAAGACTTCATGCTCCTTCTCTATGATGCAGAGCAGGAGCCGAACTGGGAAGAGTCACAAAAGAGATGGGAGGAATATCAGGGCTGGGGGGAAGAAAAGGAGAGACTGGGGAGGGGGGGTGCTTCTCTTGAAGGCCCTAAAAAGGATCGGGTGTTTCCCGCTGAAAGGCCGAGGCAGAGAGGAGTGGAGAGAAGACTAACAGTGGGCTCAGGATAGGTGATTATGTATTAATACTTAAAACCAGAACACGGGAGGCAGGGCCCAGCACATACACTTCCGGGCACCTCTCTCCGAGGAGGGCAGGAAGGAGGGTGGCTGGCTTCAGACACCGTGAGCTCCCAGTTTTGAAGGCCTCTGAGACAAGCTGGAATGTCTCTCACGGACAGCACTGCCAGGTGCCCCAGAGGGCCATGCTGGACAAGCCTGGGGACTGACTTTGTAATATCCCCAAGGGAAGGGTGTGACCGTCCGTGTGAGGACTGAGAGCTGGTGATTGCCTGGCTGAGCCCTGGCCTGTCCTGGCCCACCCGCCTCAGAACCTGGGAAGCTCTCTGCTCAGCCTGAAGGAGACTCCAAGCAGCCTCCGACCCTGCCTCCCAGCCAGCCGATCCTAAAGAGCCGCAGATACGTCCTCAGACCCGTTTCACAGCAGTTTAGAATCACGCCTGCTTTTCTAAAGGAAGCCCCTGCATCCTCAGACCAGAGGATGTGCAACTGGCAGGCAAAGGGATGGTCAGTGAGACTTGGACAAAGCGAGCAGGGACTAGCACACCACTGTAGCCTGTCGGTTAGGTTTCTGGGCCTCGGGCTCGCTCCTGGGCTCCGTGCGAAAGAGGATCTCCCTAGGAAAGTTTGGCTGGAGAAAGGTTTCTTTGTGATGCTGGGCTGAGCTCCGGTTTGTTCTCCAGATGTCTGAGTCCCCCGACCCCTGGCCCCACGGCTGCCTCTCTAGCTGCCACTGACTCACAAAGGGCAGATGGCCCAGCAGCCCTCCCGGGAGCAGCCCCCAGGACACAGAGCTCAGCTAAGAGCAAGACCTCCCTCTGTGCTGCGTTACAGTCTGCAAAGCACTTTCACATCCACTCTCTGACTGACCCCCAGCAGCCTCCCTGTGATGTGATTTCATCATCTCTGTTTCAAAAAAAAAAAGGGACAGGCTCAGAGAGGTGGAGTCACTGGCCAAAGGTCACACAGCACTTGCCTAGAGGAGCCTGGAACTCAACCCCTTTTCCCTAAACACTGAGTCATTGCTTTACAGCTACCGAAGAGGGGTGGGAGCTGGAGATCAATCCCCCTGCTGCTGCTAACTCACTGTGTGCCAGGGTTTCTCTCCCAGGCCCGGGGCGTCTGGGAGGAGGGCTGGCTGTGCGGTCCCAGGGCCGGGCTGGATAAGGAACACATTTACCCTTAGTCTTTGGCCACTACCTGGCCAACAGGGTGAGTGAAACAACTGGTATAGGAGAACAGCCAGAGGTGAAGCTGGGTAAATGGTGCAGAAACTCTGAGACAAGCAGCTGCTTAAGGGAACCACTCAGGAAGACACTGTGTGGCGTTGGGCAACTCACCCGCCCTCTCTGGGCCTTGTCTGCAAACCTCGAGGTGATACCGCATCGTCTCTAACCTCCTTCTAGATCTGAACTTCTGCTGTGGCCTCCTTCCTGGGGGCCCTGGCGGTTCCCCCGGCGCAGGAAGGATCAGGTGGTCCAGCCCAAGAGGGCACTTCCTCGGGACGCCTTTGGGGACAGACACCCTCCGCCACCCTCCCTGAGCTTGGCCTCTGTGAGGCTGAGCAGTTGCGCTTTTTAAGCTCCATCATCTGCTTCACTCGGGAGGCAGGAGTCCTAGGCCTGAGCAGAGGTGGTCCCTCTGCTAACACGGCCCCACCGTCCCCCCTCTTTCCTCTTGCAGAGAAAGGGCTGGATGTCCCCCTCATCATCGGCATTTGTGGCGGAGGCGTTTTCTTTTTACTCTTTGTGGCGCTCCTCATTCTCTTCATCAGCAAGAGGAGGAAACAGCACCGAAGGAAACACGGTGAGCCCCCTCTCCGGTGTCTCCCCCCATCCCCCCCTGCAGGCCTGGGCAAAATCCCCGTGGAAACGACTCGCGAGCAGGACACTTGCGCCTGGATCCGGCAGTTTCAGAGTGTCAGGGCTGTAAGCGGCGGTTACAGTTTGTTCCATTTGTGGTTAGCTTGACTTCTGAAAAACAATTCTCAGTGGCAACCGTGTGGGAGCTTACGAAGCTCAATCCAGGTTGGCCCCATGGTCGTCCACCTCCTGAGCCGACGCTGCGTAAGGCAGTGTGGACTTTATGTATGTATGTATGTATGTATGTACATAAGTATGCATTTTTTCCATCACCTTTTGCCCCCTCTGGGTCCTCTTGCCCCTCTGCCCATCCCCCTCTTCCCCTGCAATCATCACCCTCCTGTCCCTGAGTGTGGTTATGCTTTGAATAAGCCACACACCTCTATGTGGGTAGGAGGGTTAGCTTTAAAACACATGCCTGTGGACACACACCTTGCCCAATCCTGCGGGGCACAGGAAAAACTTCAGGGCCTCGGGGGCCTGCAGGGACACCCTTGTTCTAAAACCAGGTGCTCACGCCTCCCTTTCCAATTGGCTGTTCAGAGGGAGGTGCTTGGCCTCTGGGTGCTTCTCTCTCAAATCAGGCCCGTCTGACAAGCCACCGAGGTGAAGAAGATGATGCTCAGCAGCGGGGAGCTGGCTCACAGAGCACGCAGGCCCCCGGAGGCCATGTCCAGATACAGCCACCAATCCCCTTCCCTGTGGGAATGCGTTCCGAGATGCCCAGGGGCGGCCGGGAACCACAGACAGTGCCAAAGCCTGCATACACAATGTTTTCCCTACAAATGCATACTTATAGTGAAGTTTCACTTATAACTTTAGGCACAGTAAGAGATGAACAATAGTGACTAATAATCAATTAGATGATAACAATACCTTGTACTAAAAGTTATGTGAACGGCTTTGTGGCCATTGTTAAATGAAATAATGGTGACTTGAACACACACACTGAGGTGCCTCGACAGTCGATCTGATAACTAAATGGCTGCTAAGTGACTAACGGAGCAGGCGCGGCGTAGATACATATACGAGTGGATACGCTGGGCAAAGAGATGATTCATATTCAGACAGAACAGAGCAAGATTTCATCGCTATTCAGAACAGCGTGCAATTTGAAATGTATGAATTGTTTATTTCTGGAAATTTCCATTTAACCTTTTTTGCACTGCAGTTGACCACGGGTAAGTGAAACCGTGGATAACAGGGGACTATAATGGCTCACCGGGTGTCTCCACAGGAGCTGGGATGGGACTGTTGGGACCCCATGCTGCAGGTGGGTCCAACAGGGGGCATCCAGCCATGGGCAGGCCCCTCAGATTCTGCGTAACCTCACATTCATTGTAGGACTGGGTCCCCTCACTCTTAGAATGGACACTCCCACTCCCCCAAGGAAGGACCTGGTGGCCTTGAGTTGCCGTCAGATTTGATTGCCACTGGCCTTTAGCTCTAAATCCTGCCATACCTCTGCTCCATGTTCCATCTCCATCCTTCCCACACTCTCCGCCCCAGCGGAAGAGAATTACCTGCTGAATCCCAGAGGCACCCACGATTCCCTCACCTCTGTGCCTTGCTCAGGCTGTTCTCTGCCTTTTCCTCCTGCAAAGGTCCCTTCTCCATCACCTGATGCTCAGAGACCACTTATTCTCCCAGAGTGGACCTCCCACGCCACCCACAGGGCAATCCCTGCTTCCACGAGGCTGAAGTGACCAACAGAAGGACTGCCTCATCGTGACAAAACAGTGGCTTGTGCCAGGCACTAATCTCTATAATCTGTGCTTCATAGTTATGATCTTATCTAAATTTCCAAGTGGCCTTATTCACACGGATGAGGAAATTTAAGCTCAGTGAGGGTCAATGATTTGCCCCGAATCTGATAGCCAGCAGGCTGAGTCAGGACTAGGCAAGGCCAGCACTAGGCAAGCTCAGGGTGCAACACTTAAAGAAATGCTCACCTTTGACCCTGCTGTTGTGCCACCTTGAGAGTGAGGGCCTGGGTGCCTTGCTGGTTTCACCCTCATCGCCCCAGCCCGGGGCTGAGTAACCAGGAGCTGCAATGAGGGAGAAGGACACCGGGCCTGGAGGAAGCCTGGGAGCAGACCCTGGGAGGATGGCTAGTTGGATGTGGACATGCTGGGGCTCACAGCCCAGCGCTGGCCAGACAGGCTGCACAGAGCCACAGCTAGCCTTGTCTGTCCACGCCGGCCTGAGGTTTCCATCACTGGACCACCCCTACTCCTCCTCCTGGACAAAGGGGGCTCTTGGTCTGCACCCCTGCGGGTCCTTCGTGGAGACTGGCATTGTGACCTGCAGTCCCACTTACTTGACGTAGCTTCCTGAGCACAGCGCTTGTGTCTGAGCCACCACTGCCACTTAGCAATGGCACCTGCCACCTGGAGGAAGAGGAATACGTTTTCGAAGAATAAATGAACAGGACAGTGGTGAACAGACCAGTGAATGAATGGCCAGGCCAAGCCTGCCGCGTTGGGGAAAACAAAGCTCCATTGTCCCACAGTGGGAAGTGGGTCAGAGGTCACAGTCCTCTGCCCGGCCTCCTGGGATGGCATAGAGGGTGTGTTTGCCCTTTCTGTGCCCTTTTCTCTGGCCTCCCACATGTACAAGCTATGTCGAGGCCTTAAGTCCCCACACTGGATGCTGCCTGAGCCTGGAGTCGGCAGTGGAGGAAGCCTCTGGCCCAGCGTCATCACCCGAAGGTGCAGGGCGACACAGGGGGCCTGGCTCAAAGCCCTCACCCCTGTAATGATGCGACTCCGGGGAGGAGGGCCTCCTGCCTCCTCCAGAGCGCTGCAAGGGTGGCTGTGGGCACGGGACTCCACTCCTACCTTGTAGCCCAAAGGAGGCGGGGGGGGGGGGGGTTACTGGGGGGAGAGGCCGAGGGGTGGGGTCCTCCAGATGGCCAGCGGCTGAGCATCTGCACTATTTTCTGTGTGATTTGAAAGCTGCTCAGGACAAACTGCGTTACTAGGAGTCTTGGGCCTGTGCTCCTGATTGACAGGCCCCTGAGCAGAGAGCCCCAGAGGGGTGGCCGGGGAGGAATTCTTGCCTCCCGGGCGCAGGAGGATGGGGCTTGCTTCTGAACTTCTAAGAACCTACCCTCCAGCCCTCACCAGAATGTGGGCTGCATTAGAGCCAGAGAAAAAGGCAGATCTAACAGAGGAACCCGGGGGAACGAAGGTCAAACCTGCCCACTCAGGGCCTATGCGAGGGCTCTGACCACCAGGCGCTCAGCATCTGCTCCCAGGAGACCCACCTGTCTCCTCGCCTCTGGCTTCTTGAGCTCTCAAAGGCCCAGGCTCTCATTCTGCCTTGCTGGTGGCAGATCTGTCTGCCCCACAAGTCTGAGAACCCTTAGGGCAGGGGTGGGGGACATCTGGCCCCCGGGCCTTGTATGGTCTGGCCCTGCCAAGGCATTAGAGGTGAGTTAATGAAATGTTTGACCATAGCAGGCTAATTTTTAAAAATATATTACAGATATCCCCCATTTCTTCCTTCTCTCCCCCCTCCTCCCAACCCCCTCCCCAGGTTTTCACTACTTTATTGCCCGTGTCCGGGGCTATGCATATAAGTATGTAAGTTCTTTGGCTTATCTCTCTTTATCCCCCTGACCCCACACTGAGGTATGTCAATCTGCTCCATGCTTCCATGCTTTGGGTCTTATTTTGTTGGTCAATTCATTTTGTTCATTCGATTCCACGAATAAGTGAGATCATGTGATACTTGTCTTTCTCAGTCTGGCTTGTTTCACTTAGCATCAGATTTTCCAGGTCCGTCCAAAGCAGGCTAATTTTTACCTTGATTATTTTGTATGGCCTGCGAACAGGGCTCTCAATATCCAAATGGCCTTTGGCAGAGAAAAGGTTCCCCTGCCCCTGCCTCGGCGGGGAGTGGCAGCTTCTGTCTCCTCATCACCGCCCCGAGAGCAGCTGGCAGACCCCGTGTGCAGAGAAGGGCCACTCGGTAAAGAGCCGCATCGATCAGACCTTGCAGAGGTGAGCTCGGAAGTTTACAGGTTTTGTTGTTGCAGGTGAGAAACTGGAACTCAGAGCACACAGAAACACCTCTGAGGAAAGGAGCCGGAGGCCCCAACAGCATCCAGCCTCAGCTCCTCCCACTGGGGCCGCATCCCAAGCTCCTCCTCCGCCTGGTCATCGTCCCCCGGCTCACGGTCCTCGCCCCCCCCCTCCTGGCCACCGCGCCCAGCACCAGCCCCAGAAGAGACCTCTGCCTCCCCCAGGCGCCCATGTCTACCAGCAGAAAGGACCTCCTCTCCCCACGCCGCGGGTTCAACCGAAACCTCCCCGTGGGCCCAGAGAGAACGCCAAACTGTCCTCTGGCAGGGCTGACCACGGCCTTTGATTGAGAGGTAGAGACTGTCCCTTCCTGCCCTGGAGCCTGCACTTCTGCCGGCTGCGTCCTCACCTCCCGGGCTCCTGGCCCAGAGCCACACCTGCACACCCCTCAGCCACACGGTCTCACATCTGGAGTCACTGGCCTCCTCCTCAAGTGCCACCGCACCAAGAAGAGAGAGACAATGAAGTGCAATCATTAGGATGAGGGGTGACCGAGCACCAAACCTTAGAGCCCTCGGCACCTCCTGGAGCGACATCCAGCAGCCGCTGTGCCCAGGTCTCGTTACCAGCCACCTGCCTGTTGCAGGGACTCTGGGTTTCTGAGGTGCCTGGGGGACACTTGCCTACCATCTCCCAGTAGATGTGAAATAAAAGGTCTGACTTGATCCCAGCGCCTACTGATTATAGAAAGCAACCCAGCAGCGTCCGGCCAGTATGGCTCAGCAGGTACAGTGTCATCCCATGCACCAGGAGGTCTCTCGGTTTGATTCCCGGTCAGGACACGTGCCCAGGGTTGCAGGCTCAATCCCCAGTAAGGGGTGAGCAGGAAGCAGCTGATCGATGTTTCTCTATCATCGATGTATTTCATCTCTCTGCCTCTTCCTCCCTCTCTCTAAAATCTATAAACTTAAAAAAAAAAAATAAAACCAAATAAAGGAACCCAGCATCAAGCTGCGGCATCAGAAAGAGTCTGGCTGGCGTGGCAGCGGGATCACATTTGGTCGCCCCAATTCGCCCGGGTCCCCGCCCCCCCCCAGAGCATCAGCATGCTCCCCGGGGCTCAACTGCAAAGCCAACCTGATAGCCTGACAGCCCGCTTGCAGATTCGCTTAATGAATTGAATCCTCTCCGCACAAATGTCTACAAGAGGCACCGGAAAATGTAATTTTTTGGGTACCACTCCCTTCAGACATGGTCATGACGATCTATAGCAGTGGTTCCCAACGTGGGGCATTCCCCCCACCCCCACAGAGGGGGCGATTTGATTTTTAAGGGGGGCAATTCAAGAACGAGTTATTAACAGTGATTTTTTTTTTTTTGTATTTCTTATGGTTCTAGGGGCCTCATATACTGTATATAAATATATATTGTGACAACATATTCATGCATCTCACTTCTCTATTATATGTTTTGAAACTTGATTTGTTATTTTTTTCATATCACCTCATATTATTATTTAACAGTTTCTTAGTGATTTCTTCCTCAGGACTTCAACTGTCCTTTCGTTCTTTTATTTTTCTCTGTCATGAGTTCCATGTTCTTTGGAAGCTTGGTTAGACCAAGTTCATGGCCTTTTAGGCTTCCTCCATGTGACTAAAAGTTCATTTTTTTTAATAATAAGAATTATAGCCGAAACCGGTTTGGCTCAGTGGTAGAGCGTCGGTCTGTGGACTGAAGGGTCCCAGGTTCAATTCCGGTCAAGGGCATGTACATTGGTTGCGGGCACATCCCCGGTAGGGGGTGTGCGGGAGGATAGAGAGCTAGAAATGTCTCTCACTCATCGACGTTTCTAGCTCTCTATCTCTCTCCCTTCCTCTCTGTAAAAAATCAATAAAATATATATATTTAAAAATAAAATAATAAGAATTATATATTACGGGGGGGGGAGGACACATCAGGATTTCAGAGATGCTTAGGTGGGGTGTGGCCCCAAAAAGGTGGAAACCACTGATCTACAGAGTCATCCTGGACAATCCATGGATACTGGAGGGGCCGCAAGCCAATCAGATGACATGCAAAAGGCAGGCTCAGGGAAAATCTGGTTGAATCAAACCCCAAGTGTCTTCACTGACCACTGCTTACAGGTCAGATCCCATCCCCAGCTAGAGTCATGCGAGCTGAACTTCGGGGAAAGTGGGGAGAACAAAACAGCTTTTCGTTAGTGTTCTTCAACACTAGGCGGTGAGAAGATACGCAATTTGAAATGTCGGTGCCATGGCTGTGGTCCCGTCTGCAGCCTCCGTCCGCCGCCTTGGCCTGGCCCCTCTCACACTTGGTGAATCTTATCAGGCTCTGACAGGAAGCTCTGAGGTCTAAACCACAAAGTCTGTGAGCCTATTCAGGCTTCCTGTGACAGCTTACTGAGAGCTGAACTGCTTATTCCTTAGCACCCAGAGCCAATTACCAAGGATAATGCTGTACGGAACTCCACAGCCTCCTGAAATTCATGCAGGAAATTCAGCCAAGTACTGTCATCACAGGATCTACCTTCAATAGGAGAGACGGGGGTCTGAGCACTGCCCCTTCTTCCTTCCTCATTTCAGTCCTGAGCCATTCCTCCAGGCCTCCTGCCAGAATGACCTCCATCCCATCCCTTCCAGGAGCCATCCCTGGCCTGGTGCTGGGCTTTTCCTTTGAAATCCTAAAGTGTTACACGTGATGCAGATCACGTGCTGCCTGTAAGTATTCGATCTTTTGTTATTCCTTCACTCAATAAACACTTATTGAACTTCCACTGCATCCCAGGCTCTGCACTAGGTACCAGGAACACAGGGGTGTACAACTGACTGTATCTTTGCTTTCACGGACCGCACAACCTAGTTGGGGGAAGGGCGGACAACTTCCAGGATAAATGTAACAGCGTGATGAGTATAGTCAGAGGCAAGCACAGGCGCCCAGAGGGAAGATGTGGACTGCAGGTTAGGAGGTGGGGCCGGGTGACACAGAAGGCTTCCCGAAGGAGGCAGCGTTTGCGTTAAGTTGTAAGAGATGAGTAACATGGCAAAACAGGTGCGGGATTACCATGTGGCCCTCCACAGCATGAGCAAAACTCACGTCAGCTACCTGCTCATACATCTTGCTGTTCCTTTACTACTGTGTTTCATCACTTTGAAGATGCCATTGATTTTAAGTGGCATCATCATTCTACATACCATAAAAAGGAAACCTCTCAACTGTCTTATGACAAAGCTAAGATACACCCCTTTTCTGTGATGTTAAAATGTGAAAAGATGTGCTTTTTTATTTTATTTATTTATTTTTATTTTATTATTCTTTTTTTTAATCCTTACCCAAGGGTATTTTTTCCATTGACTTCTAGAGAGACTGGAGGGAGTGGCGGGGGGATGGCGCGCCTGGGGGGAGACACACATACATACACACACACACACACACACACACACACACACACACATTGATTGGTTGCTTCCCACCCCTCCTGGGGCTGGGGAAATTGCCACTGAGGTATGTGCCCTTGAACAGAACCTGAGACCCTTCGATCTGCAGGCTGATGCACTAACCACTGAGAAAACCAGCCAGTGCTTTTTTTTTTTTTTGTAACCCACACCCAACGACATGTTTATTTATTTGAGAGAGAGGAAGGGATAAGAGAGAGAAAGAGAAATAGCAATGTGTGAGAGAAGCAGATTGGTTGCCTTCCTGACGGAGATCAAACCCACAACCTAGTAAGTGCCCTGACCAGGAATCAAACCTGGGACCTGTCAGTGTGCGGGTCAACACTCCAACCAACTAAGCCACAGGGACAAGGGCAAGATGTGCATTTCAGAATTGATGAAATGCATAGTTAATAAGCCTCTGGAGAACAAAGACCATAGCGCTTTACTATACCACTAGCTAATTGACACAATGGGTGCGCACAGCCCGTATGAAAGAAAGGGAAGGGAACACACGTGGCATTTATGTATTTAAGACACACTCCCTGCACCGCTGGAATCTCCATCATGAGGCTGAAAACAGGGGCCTTGCTTGAGATCTTTGCTGCCTTCATCCACCTATCTGACCTTGTGTCCTACCACTGACCTTGTCCCCAGAGCATGGACTTCCTGAGAAGTGGTCAGACCAGCTGCATCAGAAGTGTGGTGCTTAGAAAAAAAAATAGCAAGAATTTAGTAGGTGAGTTTGGGCACTTTTAACAGCCTCTGTAGGTGATTCTGACAGGCATTCAAGGGGAAACCACAGGCCTACTGGTCTTCAAGTGATTAACCATCAGTAATAGGTCAAATCTGAAGACGTTCTAGATCAGTGGTCGGCAAACTGTGGCTTAAGAGCCACGGTTTGCCAGTCTGTTGACTAATGAGTTTGCCGACCACTGTTCTAGATAATATGGTACTGCAAGAAAAAGTGATAGCACAGTTAAGAAATCTGCTGGAAACTGCGAACACGAGGGAGTCAGCTAGGTTGGAAAGAGAATCGAGGTAATCTGAAGGACTGGAACATCCTAGGGTGTCATATAAAGGCAGAAAATTCTAGATTTTTGATAGCCTCTCTGCCCTCCACAAAGAGCAATTTGAGCCTAGCAACTGGGTCAGTCCAGCTCCAGGGGCCTGGGCTGTTGACTGGCAATGTTATCTCACTCCTCCTCAATGAGGTCTCTAACGGGCTCCTCAAGGCTCCTGCATACTCGCCAGGCTGCAGCCACGTGGTTCCTTGGGGCCACTGCCCACAGTGTCTCCCTCCCAGAGCCACTGCCCACACTTTCCACTTGTCCACACTCTTCTTTCAGGACTCAGGGGCCTTGCCTGACTCCTGAGCTGTGCTGTGGCATGAGCCATCTCGCTCTGCCTCGCTGTGGTCATCTTGTCCAGAGCAGGAGGAGGCCCACAGGCACTACAGCCAGAAGGTTCTCACTCTCTCTTACTGGTTATACAAGCTCGAGACACTTACTCAGCCTCTGAACAATGGTTTCCTCAGTGTAAAATGGAGATAACACCTCACAGGGTTCGAGTGCAGATAAACTGGAAATACTGTATGAAAATGTAGGTGTGTATCTTGATGGACAGGAGACAACTGATAACTGTGAACTTTCCTTCTGGCTTGAAATGAGAAAGAACACCCTGGTTAGCAGACATAAATGACCCAGTTATTGGAAAGAGGCACAGCCCGTTAAAATTCGTAAGTACTCTGTGAGGGGAATAGTGTGCTAGGAGTTTGAGTCACCTTAGTTCTCTAACATTGGCCACAGTGGACAGATGGACAAAACCCTATATACCAGATGCATTAAAAGCTAAACAACAGACCTTTGAGACCACTGCGTAGAGCTTGGATTGA